TGATCATCTCCCCTCCTCTCTCTCTCTCTCTTCAGCTTTTCTCCATCGTAGCTCTTCCTTATCTTCTTTCAGTTCCGCGCCGCCATTGCACTCACCCCGACTGATGGTATCTTGTGATGGTTGCCCAAGCTGCCAGAGTCTAGCTCCTCCCCGTTGGAGAGATCTGCTACTTCTTATAAAAGACACAACCGAGTGGGGTTTATTGGTGATTCTTCTCGTGGGACTCGATTTTGATCTGTCTTTGAGCGGCTGCGGTAGAGGCCGCCAGCCGCTACACTCTTGCGGCACCACCAGAGATATATCCTCCGTTAATATATGGTAGAGTTTTGTGTAATTTTCTCCAACAAGAGTGAAAGTAGGAAGGTCATTTTTGTCTTTGCACATTTATTATTTATTTCATATAAAAATAGCAATATCAAGATTTGAACCCGAGTCTCTTCAAACAAAGATAACAATCACAACCAGTTACACTAAACAAATTCATTGCATCCTTTTTTATACAAAAAATAGACAAAGTTAATCTCTGAAAATCAGAGGACTTTTTCATCATAATTAGCAAGCTCACTAAGTCTACCGTATGTATTTTTATCGAGCTTGATAATTCTATTTTCATAGTAGAGTTTCATGTAATTTTCTCAATTTTAAATTCCCGCTCTCTCCTTAATTTTTGCTAAAGGTAAATGGGTAATTGGCCAACATGGAAGAAACTAATTATGTAACTACTGTTGTATCCTTGCATTTTTCAATTTAAATTTAAATTTAAATTTTGTGCTTTTTTTTATCTTTGTTCTTTTCTCTTTCTAACTTCCTCCGAAATTTCATCCATCGTGCAATAGTTTGCGCCTTTCACTTCCCAGTACAAGACTGTTATTGAAAACCAATCTTCAGGTATCTCTTGGCACTACGGTTTTATTGTTGTGGATTTTAAGCTGGGCGAGTAGAAGATTTCAACTCCGATATCAATTCATGGCGAATAGAATGGAATTCATCAATAACTGAAGTTGTAGAAGAAAGATTAGAAATTGAATTTTTGGTTGAATATATGCCTCTTGAGATAGAAATTTGGTTGTACAACGGAGAGTGGTGGCTATTGGATCTTTAGGTTTATGGTTTTTGCAACTGTCATAACCTATTTCTATCTTAAAACGAGGAATCATTGATTGATTGTTTGAATTCTTTATTCAACCTACTGGAACTAATAGATAAGGAGTGTCTAATTTTGCGCCTTATTACTTTGATCGAGTCTATTCGTATATTGGAGATAACCCTGATTTTTTCGTTTGCTCTCAAGTTGTGATGGTCCCCTCTTAACTGAGTTTTTAGTATATAGATGACTTGAATCAACAACTCTCCATTTCTTTTGATTAGTGACATATTGTTTCTAAAAGAAGAGCATTGAACCCTTTATATAGGATTGTGAGGTTTAAGATTTAGTTTCAAACTATCTATGGGTTGTGTGAGAATTTCAGTGAGCTTTTATACTCTATATTTCTTGACTGTCAAAGAAAACTAACCAATAGCATTTTAACAGGGACTTAATTAGCATTATGAAAATGGGCTCAATGATACATTTTTATATTTTATATTCTTAAATGATTATGATATTTCTCCAAATGTTCGACCTATATATTATTTCTTTATGTATCATCTTGATCGAATGATTATCAATAAGATTAAACGGGTTAATAGACTTAAAAGTAACATAAAATACAAATAATCAAATATGAGCATTCCGGCCAAATGGTCGGGTTATAAGCTAGTTTCTTAAAAAGATTCAATTTCTTTCCAATAGGTTTGTTCTAGCAATCCCCACATCCATCACCTCGTTACAACTGCACCAGCATACGAGGTTTGTTCCAAAAGGTTTGTTTCATAAATATCAAATATCTTTTCAAAAGGTTTGTTTTGGATATTTGGGATTAGTATGTTTTTTTCATTTAAAAGAATCACAACTCGTCTAAAACAAGCAAGATTCAAACACACAAAAGCGAAAAATAAAAGCTAGATTAACACGAAACAATCTTTTTAAAATAACGGACTATTTGCTCCCCAACAACGGCGCCAAAAACTTGACTCGTCCCGAATATCACAATAAAACTCCCAATTAGTGCCCAATATAAACTTTAATTGGGTGTGATATAGGGCAAGTATGTTTAAATATCAACATGGGTCGGTCCATGCAATGCAGTCAAAATCACGCTTTAAAACTTAAAAACTTACGATTTTCCGCTTTCAGGTCAGCAAAACGCTTACGTTTCCATATAAAAAATTTAGTGCATAAAATCGGACTAAATTGCGCTTTAAACCTTAAAAGCTTACGTTTTACTTTTTTAGGTCACCAAAACGCATTATGTTTTTACGCTTTTAGATCACTAAATATGTATTATTTTCATGATACATATGGTACTTGGATACATTTAAGCTTCAATAGAGTAATCTAATTTACCAGTTAGGCTCTTCCCAAATTCATTAGCATAGAGGGGACAACGGCTTATTGTTAATATTTATGTTTATGAACTTATCATTAAGAGGCTATAAGTTGTTCTACTTTAGGCATGAATTGCAGGTATTTATTAACTTATCTAAATTATGTGCACTCATATTTTATACAGTATATGTCGTACTTAACAGATTTTTAGTTATTTTACAACGTGCGTCAAAAACTTACGTTTTAATTCTATGCTTTACAGTTTTACCCCTTTTTCGCTTCTAGGTAGAAACACGCTTTTAACTACATTGGGTCCATGCGATTAGTTGTTTATTGAAAACTACAATCTACAATTAAAACGATTGTAAAGGTAATTGGTTTTGCCTCTAAATGAGAAGGATTCACCCGGGTGTAGCTCCCCCTAACTATCTGCCACGACTTGTCGAAATGAATGAAAACGTGTGGTGGAGGCGGTTGTGAACCGTAAGGGAAGTGCAGCTAGTGATGGAACATCACTCTCTCGGTCTCTAGGCCAAGGAATTCGGATTAAGCTACCAAGGTAGCTCTCTTGGCCTAATCGACCAAGGACTGTCTAACCTTCTCTCTCGAATCGGAGTTCGGACGGCCAAAACACAACCAACCTAGTTGCTAATACGAACAAGGAGGGTTGCCCTACATTAACCTAGATAGGAGACAAGATTTTCCTAAGAAAATCCAGTTTCACAAGCCTCTTTCACAAAAAGGGGGTTTTATGTCTACCTAAGTTAGAATGGCAAAATAGATTAATAGGAAAACACACAACACAATCTTCCATGAAAATACATCCAATTCATATTATAACACACGCACATAAACAATCATTACATACAATCATTCACATGGTAGAAGTTAGGGTCCACAAACACCCAAGTGAAAAGGGACACTACTTCATGCTAGGAGAGGGGAAAACACATGGAGAAGGGAAAGAAACCATCATGGAGATACTTGAGATCTTCCTTTGGGGAAGAATTTCCCAAATCCTTGCCGTGAAGTGAAACTCTAGCCTCTTCTTCCTTCTTGCTCGTCACTTTCTCTCTCAAGTTCTCTCTCTCTCCCTCCCCTCCCCCCCCCCCCCTTCCTTCAGCTCAACCCTTCTTTTATACCCAGGTCGCGGTCAGTTCACGGTCCCAGTTCACGACCGTGATGTCGAGCTGATACGCACCGTCTCATTTAGTCTTTTCACGGTCTGGGGCTTTGCTTTATGGTCTTACTACTAGGGGTGGGCATTGGGTGAGTCGAGTGGATTTTGACCATAAAATGCACCCACCCGCGTTTAAACGGATTGGCAATTTTTAACCCACCACCCACCCACATTATTCTCGGGTTGGGTTGGGTGGATGGCGGATGATGCGGGTGGATTTGTGATTTCACCCACATCACAATGTACATAATATAAATGAGTCAACTTGACATGATCCATTTATATTTCAGAACCCTCTATGAAATGCCAATATGTAAAATAAAAAAAAATTCAACATTCATTCACCCTCCAAATTTGAGGTTCACTTCAAGTGGCAAGATAATTGGTGGAGAGTTGTCAGGCAGAAACAAAAAGATGGAATAGGAAGGAAAAATGTCGAATTAGTCATGAAATTGGATAGAAATTCTATTATGGATCGGAGGATTTTTCTAATGATGGAGATGATTATAGGGTGCAGGAAACTAAGAAAAATAATTCAGAAGAAAGATTGGGCACAAGAATCAGAAGGAAAAATAAAGGGAAGAAGAGGGAAGTCGATATATTCGGAAGATTGGCTTTGAGATTCAATATCCAGGAGTAGCCCTAATTTGCGTCAACGTATGCACTCTCCACTCTCCAGCGCCAATTGCTTTGTTCTTTTTATTGTTGGGTTGAGCAGGTCACCCGCACACCCGCCGCCAAACCATCCGCCGCTCGGCGGATGCCTCCTAGCCGCAACCTAATGTAAAACCACACCTCACGGAGCACAAATACATAAAAACTCTACGGAAAACGGGGATAAAATGTTTACAATTGGATCCGAATCAATGATATAGATGGTAGTTAGAATGGTGATAACCCCTATATAAGGTTAACACTTTATCACCCCCTGCCTAACAGAATAAGGTAAAGTGGTAGTTTGTTACTTGTTCGGTCAACTGGATAAAAGAGAGAGGAGAACGAATAAGAAAAAATATTGATGATCTTACCTGTACTTTTCCTCTACTTTCCTCTGCACTTTCTATTCTTCCAAACACTTTACCTTTCTCGCTGGATATCTCACGATCCTAGTTCATCACAGAGAGACGATTATCCATCGGGCCATATGGACCATGAATTTTCTGAAAAAGTGTCCGATAGAAAAGAGAGCCGAGCTTCTTCTTTTTTTTAACCACGGAACTGGGAGCCGAGTTCGACACGCCTAAGTTCTTGAAAATCATTAGCCGAAATACAAAGAAAGAAGAACACTGAAACTTGCACAAAATGCCACTCGACGGTGTGTTTCACACTTTGTGCAAGCAGATAATAATAAGTGAAGTTCGTTATCAGTCGTTTAATCATCCCGCCGTCAGATCAATTATAACTAAGATTCACTTCAAAAATCCTAACACAATGATCAGCCCCACAAGAGGCCAGCTGCACACTCCTACTGTCCTCGCTCTTCTCTCGGCTTCTCCATGACAGTCGATTCACTGGAGAGACGTGGCACATTGTCGGGTCCAGCCTGATTGCAAGGGCAGCAGAGGCTGAAGAACCACCACTGTCGATGTTTCTCCTCACTGTTATACTCCAGAGTTCGATGAGTCCATTTTCCATTCCAACCGCGACAAGTCCATGGTCTCTCTGACGATCGATGCCAAACCATGACACTGCTGTGACGCTGCTGCTGAATTGCGGTAAAGTTGCTATCTGCTTGACCCAAGGATCCTTGCTGTCTACTACTGTCCAGATCTTCACTGTCTTGTCCCTTGAACCGGTCGCAAAGTCGTGACCAAATGGGTTCCAGGAACATGACCAGATAATTCTCTTGTGGCCCTCCTGCTTTGCTACAAGCTGGGAACTGATTTCATCTGTATAAAACACAAATTTCAAAAAACCCAAGGCAATCAATAAAAATGTGAGGATAAGAAAAAATGAAGAAGAATCACCACACCCAGAGCTGGTAGTTCCCCAAGTGGATAGACATTGCACACACCTCCGGTTCTTTGGATGGAGAAGACTGAAAATTGACGATCTCTTGAGACTGCCAAAAGCATGGTATCATCACGAGAGAACTCCATCTGGGTGACTGTCAAGGTATGAGACTGCAACCGACCAACTGTTTTCCATGAACCAACTTCCCACAGCCATATTTCTGCCACTGATTGTGACTGTGCCTGCAACACATTACAAAATAAAAAAAAATAAAAAATAAAAACTTAAAATTCGCAAATCAGCTTTGCAAGTTTTGCAGAAAAGATCAGGGTTGGAAAACATTCAAATTGAATGTTCGATGTCTCGTATCTCTAATAACCACAGGTACGAGAGTATGATAGAATCCAGTAATTGCTGATGATTAACTGTTCCATTATGGCTTGTTTAAATATAAGCCACAGCCAAAGTCTTTACTTTGCAGAAACTAAGTGGAGACTGAAGCAAAGAATCAAGAGCCAGCTTAGTTTATACATTATCATGCCCAGTGGTGAGTGGTGACATGCTCATACTGTTTTACTGAAAACTTTCTGAGGTTGCAACAAGAAAGGCATTTACCTTACACGACGAAGCTACAAGCTTCCCTCCATGATCACAACATAAAGAGAACAGCTCATTCCCATGACCATAAAGCTTGTGGGACTCAGGCCACAATGTATGGTATGCCAACTGATCTTCAATAGGAGGTTCAGTAAAGACAACTGGAATGGCATCTGGAACACTTTCAAGGGTGTCAATGCTGCCATTCCCATTTGCACCTGGAGACTCATGGACAGCTGCATGAAAAAGAAACTATGGACATGAAATTCACCAGCTAAATCTCAAAAAGGCTAGTACTTCACCTTCCTTGATGCAAACTAGTTGAAAAGACCTGTTTAAGATCTGCAATCAGGACTACAGTTGTCTTTTATAATAACTAGTATTAAAAACATCCAAAGAACAACTAGTATAAAAATATATGTCGATGGCTAATAGATAGCAGGTTCAGGTAGATTTGGGGATGGGTGTTGAGATTAATAACACAGGTTGTGTACATTGGGTACCTCACCAAATTGAATGCAGAAGGATGAAATGCTACAGGTGAGAAAATATTCATCAGGAACCAGAAATAAAATAAAAATATCGTTATTCTACAAGTAATCCATGATTACAGAAACATATTGCACCTGTTTATCCTTTTGTGGTGGGGTGGAAGGGTGGGGGTGGAGTGGCCGATGATGCGGGAGCAAACAGGCAGGTTACTGATGTACTGAACTCTACTAATATATTCAGTGGGGAGTATTCACCTATTTTTATAATAAAAGTAGCTTTTTCGAGCCATTTCATAAAGAAAAGTGGCGGAAGGGAGCATGCCATGATTCTGGAGAGCCAGCCAAGGACAATAACATGGGCTTAACAGAGAACATATGTTGAGTTTCACAGTTGGTAAAAGTCAAATCAACAGTAATTAAAACCTATCAACTACTAAATTGGGGACTATATCAGGGGGACTAACCATTCACATAAATTGGTTTCTGTGAGAGACCAAGTGCAGACATATTAGCCCCCAAGATCTGGACGCCCATTTGGAGATCTTCAGGGATATCAGATTGTCGCGTGGCACGATTCAATGTCTTTAAGAACGATAAAGGAGCTTCAAACACCCTGGCTACTTTTTCATCAGCCCCACACACAAATCGCTGGTTCCCTTTACCTTCAATGATGGCCACACAATTTATATCATGGCCATGAACTTGAGGGCGAGAAATTTCATGCCACGACTGCCCATCTAGGTGAGAAGCTTCGGTTTTCCATGGAGCAAAAACACGAGTTGTCTGGAACAAGAGACAAGTATTACTAATCTGAGTTACTCAACCTGAGATGAAGATAACAGCTTTTAAACTCTGCCTTAAATTCTTGTCTTCTGAATTGGTGAAACAGCACCATCACAAAGGCAGGCAAAAGTATATAAGCAACCCATGTCAGTGATAGATTACGATCACTTGAAATATAAGCATCCTCCTTTAACAAGACAAGAAAGAAAACATTATACCCACACATGTGACCAGAAAATGCTTAGAGTACAATGATAAAAATCACCTGGTCATGGCTCACTGTCAAAATGTATTGACCATGTCTTCCCCAAGAAATATCTGTCACGGGGGCAAAATGCCCAGACGGAACCTTCTGCGGCAGCCAGTTATCCGTATCAATTCCAATATTCCTCCACATATGAAACGCTCCACCATAACCATGAGCTAAAATTGACTGTCCATCTGGGCTCCAGTGGCCTCCATAAAAACCTAATGCAGAATGGCTCAACTCTCCAACTGTGACCACATTCATCCAAATGCCAGTTTTCTTTTCAGGCTGCCAGATCATCATTGCCTTGTCCATTGACGCAGACAATATGCTTTGGGGTTGACAGTAACTACTACCTTCATTACGTGTAGAGGGAGGTTGCCATTCCACTGAATAAACCCAGTCCTCGTGTCCAATTAAAAGAGACTCGAGAGATATTTGATAAGAAGATGAACCAGCCACAATTATAGGACCCTCAATGTAGGATGCTAAGCTAATTTCCTTCCTGTATGTTTCCTGCCCTTCTCCACCTGAGAACCCCAGCAAAGACATCTTCCAGATGCGTATGCCTTTGTCTTGAGAAGAACTGACAAGCATGATGCTATTTGCTTCACCAGGCTTGCATATTGGTAATGAGAAGTCTAGACTCCTGATCCAATCTGTATGTGCTTTCAATTCACAACCACGAACAAACTGAAAGAATAAGCATAAACAAAACCCATCTATTTTAGAGGTACAGAAAGAACTTCATGCAGGAAAACAAAAGAATGCACGTATAAATTACCTTTCCTGTCCTCTTTCCCCAGTACATGTGAATCTTGTTGTCCAAGCCACCCATTGCAAGGGCGATATGCTCAGAATTTCCAGGTAATTCTGCTAGTGACAAAGCAACCATAGGCTTTGAACCAACTGAAAGACTCTCAAAACATGATAATTTGCATTCACCTGATGCCAACATTAGAATTAACCATAAGGAACGATATTGCGATAACTGAACTCAAATAACATAATTCATGTTAAATACTGATGATAAGTCCACCAAACATTAAATAAACTACTTGAAGAGCTCATGCATGCTTGAGACATGCAATTTCTGTCGTCTGATTTAACAATAAGTAAGATTCAAGAAACAAAAGTAGCACAACAGGGGTTGAAGTGATTTATGTATGCAAAGAATTAATCTGACAAGTCATAGTAACCATACCATAGAACTAAAAGTAAATGGCAAACTAAGCAATATCACAACTGAATTACAATATGCCATCGTCAGATCAAATGCTTAAAACAGAATTTCCTACATTGTTATTGCCAACAATAAAACGCTAGATAGGATATTCTCAGCACAATAACAAGAAAATAGGTATCTGTGATCTACGATGATTCAAAAGCAAACTGTTAACAATTTAGAAAAGATAAACATCAGCAAAATAGCAGAATGACATCAATGTTTGAAATACACGACAAATCAAATTACGTCTCAGACAGTTAGGCTTTCCAATGTTTTACTTGGAACTAATTCACTTAAAGATGTGGAATCACAACAAAGCAAAACCATTAAGCACCAGAACAAAACATCCAGTCGAAAGTAATACCAGCAGATCTTACTTACCCCCAGGAGAACAAGGAAGGATGAGCTCCCATAAATGAACTGCACCATCAGAGGAACTAGAAGCAAATATGGTGTCAGTTAGTGAAACCATAATTCCAGTTATGCAGGAAACACCCTTCTTGTGTAATTGTGGTAGCTGCATCACTAGCCGCCACTGCAAAGATGAAGCAACCAGAAAATAAGAAACATTCAAACACAAGAGCACGTTACAATATGAAGCGGGAGACACCACGGCAAGACAGAGTTTAGTTTGGTGCATTCATCAAGAGAGTTATAAATGGAGAACTATCATAACCTTTTAGACCCAATCAACTTAAGAACCAGGCAATATTGGTAACATAATCAAGTTAAAAAACTCATCTTCGGTTTTCAAAGTTCCTATAATGGGAAATCCATTAGAATACACAGATACATAAGATACACCTTCCTGCGTTCTTCAACAATTTTAACAACAACGTTTGCCTCAATCGTAATCATTTGTATACCTGCTTGAACTTCTGTAATAAAGAAAGTACCTTTCTATCAGCAAGTGTCATTTCCCATAGAATGATGACGCCATCCGAATCTCCTGATAGAAGATAATGGCTCTCCAACTTTTTTGCTGCAATTGCAAAAGATAGCGTGTTAGTATTCACAACCCCTAATCACCAGCACACAAACAGAAAGGTATATCGCTATTGAATAACCCTCTAGTTTTCGAAGACCAAGGCTAGAGCAAGCAACAACAAATACAGAAACAATCCTTCCCGAGAGCTACGCCTACGGACATGCCACCATCAAAAGTGAAGCACCTACCTCTCACTTCCCGATATCCACAGAAGAAAAAGAAAAATCACCTCTGAATGCAAACTTGGCGCCAGGAATCCAGTGAGTGCAATTGACAGGTGCTTTATGGCCGGGAAGAGTGGTCAATATCTGAGCAGTCTATTAAAAATGGAGCAGAAAGCGCATAAACTTAGAAGCTCAGGGCATCACAAGGATGAACAAGTACATGATGAAACAACTAATAAGGAGAAGTAAACCTTGGGGCAGAAAATGGCGACGGCATTCTGAGAACCGAAGGAAACGAGATCACAGGCGCCCCACGAGACGTTATTCACAATTCGATTGCATCCTGCGGCGATGAACACGCTCTTGACTTTGACATCTTCACTCTCTGTCATTACTGAATCAGTTGTCGTGGTCTAAAGCAAGAAGCGACAAAAAGAAAAGAGCAGAAAGAATTGGAAGTTTTCTGCTGGTATTCGAAGAGCAAGTAAAGCTCGGAAAGCGGAGAACCAGAAACTGGAACAGTAGAGAGGGGAGAGCGGCCGGGAAAATTATGGAGACAGACAGAGTCGGGGGGAAAGGAGGAAAGTGGTGCGAGTGCCACTGAGACCGACGAAAGATGTGAGGACTGAGGGCTGAGGCGGCGGCTCTATGGGTTGGGAGTTGGGGACTAGCCTCACCATGGGCTTTCTTACTCCACTGGCTTGGACCTGGCCTGTTGGTCGGAGTATCTAATTTTTATTATCTAAATTTAAATTTTTGTTGATTAATATTTAGACATTTCATGTAAATTAGGTAATTTGATCAATAAGTTTATTAAAATATGTTATATTTAATCATTAAAAACATATTAATATCAATGTTGGTCACTTGATTAGTAAAACGGTCCATGTTTAATCACTCTCCATTAACACCGTTACCCAATTGTTTAAATGGCTAACAGAAGTATTGACTCACCCTTTTTTATCCCGCCATATCACTAAACCTGACCCGCACGTCACTCAACCCACCATATCATCTTTCCCAATCCAATTGTTTAACCCAACCAGCCTATAAACTGAACCGACCCCTATATTCCCCTCTCTCTCTCTCTTCGTCTTCCTTCAGTCTTCACACCAAAATCCCACACTACTCCCTGCTTTCTCACAAACTATGCCAATAAAAATCTCTCGCTCCATTCAAGATTTGGAGAAGTGGATTTTCTGGGTTTTCCCTCTTCTCGATTCACCTCAAACTTTAAAACAATGGAGGATGATAACAACAAGAAGAAGAAGCTGGAATATCAAGTCTGCCTGCCATCGCCACAGTCCACGACTTGCTACTTGGTAATTTCGCTTCGGACGCTGCCGATAATCAAATCAACACAACATCCCCCGCTCAACTCCCCAGATTTCGCCGCCAACGAAGCTCCCAATTGACCGACGATGACTTGAAGAAGAAAGTCCAGATCTTGCCTCCGCCGCCGCTGACTAGATCGTGATGTTATTGTTGTTGCTGGTTGTACGAGCGTTGCTCTGTTTTCTTTGGCCGTTCGGGGCTCCGAATCTTAGGAGGTCGAATAGAGCTACGGAGGAACTAGGAAGAATAATCGGGATTTGGGGTGTGGTGGTGGATCATTGGTGAAGGGTCGTGTAGAGCGACTAGCCTTTGGATGACTATACGATCGAGCTCCGTGGTCGTTTGGGGGAGGAGCTGATGAGAAAAGGCGGCCTGGTGGTGGGTTGTGAAGGCGAATCGATTGTCTTGGTCGGAGGAGTTGGAGAAGAAGTGCATCGGGTCGGAGAAAATTATTCTGCTACCTTGAAGATTAGTTAGCATATCCAAAATACATTGAACTATTATTTAAGTACTAAAGTATCGAGAGAGCACAGACTAGTATTCAAAATTTGCTAACTGATATTCACCATGAATCAACTATTATCCAGAATGCATAAATTCACAAATTAATATCTAGACAATACAGAATAGTATCCAAACAGCACATAATTAGTATACATATAACACATAAAAGTATCCAGATAACTCATAAGAGTATCCATATTGAATACTAGTTGGTTGATTGTGGATATTAGTTGGTATCTGCTATCTGGATACTAGTTTGTGATGTTTTGAATACTAATCTGTGTTATTTAGATACTTAGCAGACTTAGATATTAGTTCATACATTTTGGATATTAGTTAGTATATACTAACGAATCTTCAAGTTAGCAGAATAACTAGGTTGCATTGGGTCGGGTTTATGGGACTAGCAGCCTGCGAATAAGCTGAATGGGTCGGAATTGGAGTACATAATGGAGAGAGGGTCGGGTGAAGAGGAGATAGAGAGAGGGATATAGGTTTTAGTTCATAGGTTGGTTGGGTTTAAGAATTGGGTTGGGAAAGATGATATAGTGGGTTGAGTGACGTGGCGGGTCGGGTTGGGTTTGGTGATGTGGCGAGTTAAAAAAAGGGCGAGTCAACATTTTTGTTAGTCACTGAGTTTCTTACTCCACTAGCTTGGACCTGGCCCGTTGGCCGGAGACCCGGAGTATATAAATTTTCATTTTTATTATCCAAATTTAGATTTTTGTTGATGAATATTTAGATATTACATGCGAATTAGGGGTGGGCATTTGATCGGTTCGGTTTCGACCGAACCAAAATTATGAATATTGGGTCCCCAAATTCTCCCAAATTTCAAACCGAATTCGAACCAAATTATAATTCGATTCGGTCGGTTGAAACTAAATTATAATTCGATTCGGTTCTGTTTTTCACACAAAAACGAATTTGTACGACTACTTGTATCTTCTCACTTTTAAATAATTTTTCACCCTTAATATAAATAATAAATATTCAATTATATGCATCATCAATGATAAAATCCAACTTTTCAACACATAAATCATTAAAAATTTCAAATATTTAAGTCTAAAAACAACTACAAACATAAATCCACCATTTGGAGCTTGCAATTATAGTATTTCGGTTTTTCGGTCGGAAATTCGGTTCGGTTGAAAGAACCATGGTTTCCGAAATATCTATATTTCCCTTCCAAATTCCGACCCCTAGTAGCAAATGGGGTAGAAACTAAATATCGCAGCCCGTAGCCAGAGATCACGGCGAGAACTATGCATTGGAAGACAAGTCAAAGATCGCGGACGAAGACCCCTTTCCCCATAAGAGAGCTGATTTTGAGATATAATTTATGATTTTAGAGAGAGGAGCTGAAGGAATGAGAAGAAGAGAAGAAAGAGAATGAGCTAGAAGAAGAGGAGACATCTTCCTCAACAACAAGTCTTCTTCCACCTCTTCCATGTATCTTCTTCCCTCCTTTACAGAGTGGTTCTCTAAGGAACTAGGGGTTATAAACCCCAAATCCTAGCTTTAGGGTTACTATGTATGTATGTATGTATGGATATCATGTGTAATTAAGCTCGAATCGGTTTTGCTAATGAGTGAAGATGCTAGGATGTGGGTTTACCAGCGCCGAGAAGTCCACAGTGTCATGAGTTCCACAGATTTACGTGTTCAACAATGTCGTTTCCTAAGCAACAATGTTGTTTCCTTAAGAAACAATGTTGCTCCCCTTAACAACGATGAAGTATGAGTTGTGGTTTAGAGCCAACTAGCACAGGATGGAGAACAGGGCCTAGGTCAAACAACATCGTTGGGATAGCAATGTCGTTTGGTTCATCGTAGTTTGAACCTGCCTTCAAATTTGCTATCTTCTTGTATTGGTTTCGTTTTTTGCTTTTTGTTCTGTTTGAACCCCTCTGTTCTTTCGTTCTTCGTGCTCTGCTCTTTCCTGAGAGCCTGTGCTGTGTTCTTCTGTTTCCCCTTCTCACTTTCTCGTGGGAATCTTGTTCGTGTACTCTATTTTGGTTTCTTTGACTTTAATTCAAGTTCATCATCATTATAATTTTTTTTAGAAGCAAGCGACATCGTTGATTTTTATGGATGACGTGAGTGGCGGAAACCCATGAAAATCATTTAGCCGCACCGTGGATTGGTTCACAACGACGTCGTAGATGAGAATAACATGATTGCAAAGCTAGGATGATCAGGTGAAACGATGTCCTTGGACATACCATTTTATGAGTGGTGTTGCCTAAGATATTGTTGTGTTCAGTTCTATGAACCATGGTGGGTAACCGCTAGTGGAGAGTTACCCAACTTGGTCCAGCGATGTTTTAGTTATCAAGTCACCTGGTGATTCTATTCAGTAGTTTTCTACCTTGGTGGGAGGTTTTTTCCCATGTGGGAGCTATGCGGAGTGGAGTTTACGACTTAGGGAAGTGTAGAACATCTGGGAGACAAAAACGGACGAATACTACGACGATGAAAGGAGGACTTTGTATCAACATCTGAAACAACGGGGCACTCTGGACTGTAAAATCAAATCTCAAACACTATAGTCACAACCTATCGTTTTCCTTTAGTTCGTAGAACTTCTTTGTCAAAGATCTTTGCAGAGACGTAGTAGATTATAGCGTAGTCATAGAGCTCTCCTGAGAAATCTCTATAGGAGTAGAAGTAATGTAATTTGGATTCCTCGTTGTTCGTTTAACATCCTCATTCTTACATTTTTTTTGGGTAAAAATCTCATTCAAACATTGTTTGGAAATGTATGAACCGAATAATAGTTATTTGATTTACTTGATCTGTTTATTTAATTCTCTGAAAACCTAATTGTGGCCAAGATTAACTTTAGACTCCTTTTTTTGTCGAGCAGCTCAACATTCCAATAAAGGTTCCGTGTCATATGGCAAATCTTCGCTGACTCGTTCACCGATTCCAAGCCACACAATGAAATACCACTTCAGTCCGGAAGAGAGAACAAGGCAAAAGTGGAAAATGAAAAGTGAAAAAAGAAAAACACGAAACAAAATAGTAAAACGGTAAAAAGTGGAGATCCGGATAATCAACCTGAAGCGAACCCGCTGTAATTATATACGAGTGGAGAGCTCAGTCCCTGTTCAAACCCTAGCGAAAAAAAAGAACCCATCCCATCCTTTTTCCTATCTCTTCTCTCTCTCTGGTCTGAAGCCCCGTCCATGGCTTCACGCAGAATCGTATCGTCGCTTCTCCGATCGGCGTCGCGCCGTTCCGCGTCGTCGTCGAATCCCAATCCTAAACTTTTCTCCCCTTCCCCAGCCTCCGCCCGCCGCGCATCTACGTATGGCTACCTCCTCACCCGCACCTCCGAGTACGCTACTTCCGCCGCCGCCGCGGCCCCTGCGCAATCGGCTCCCGTGAAGACCGGTGGAAAGGATGTAGGTAAAATCACCGATGATTTCACCGGGAAAGGTGCGATCGGGCAGGTGTGCCAGGTGATTGGTGCCGTCGTCGATGTCAGATTCACTGAGGGTCTGCCGCCGATCTTGACTGCTCTCGAGGTGTTGGATCACTCGATCCGTCTGGTTTTGGAGGTGGCCCAGCATTTGGGAGAGAACATGGTCAGGACCATTGCTATGGATGGTACTGAAGGCTTGGTCAGAGGCCAGCGTGTCCTCAACACCGGTTCTCCCATCACTGTAAGTCGTCGCTCTCTCCAACTCCATTTCTGGGTCTTTTCCTGACATATTTCTATCTGTGATCATAAAACCTTCGCTTTTTTCTGTATTCCGTTGATCGCTGTTGTTGGATTTTTCTAGGTTGAGAATATCTGGGGTCTAGGGTTTTCTCTTCACGCCATTTGGAATTTAGGGATCTTGTAGTGCCTGTTTTCAGATCTAGGGATTCCTTATTTTCATTTCGTTCCTGGAAATTGGGGGAAATGAACTCGGTCTACGTGAATTACAGATTGGGATCTTGTTCTTCTATGCGCCGGCCCGTTATTTTCAGATCCGAGTGATTTATTTGGTCGATGATAAGTTTTTATGAGCAACCCTTGTCTTTTTCATTGCTCGTGCGCTAAGCTGCCAGGTGTCTTTTGTTGGATTCCGCCTTGATGACCTGCTTTTCTTGATATAGCCAATGTTTTTGCTGATTTCTCTCATTCTGTCGGTCAATTCTCCATGTCTGCGGTTGATGGTTGTTTTAACTGATGTTCATGGCACATTTTTTTTTCTCGGCATCCAATGTTCTCCAGTTTGTTTCGCTATGCAAAACTGATATCAAATTGTTACAATTTTTCTTAATTAATGGTTACAACGTTTGAATAGTCGAATTTGATTTGGTTACTTGCAATTCAAAACAGGTGCCTGTTGGCAGGGCTACTCTTGGCCGTATTATGAATGTTATCGGAGAGCCTATTGACGAGAAGGGAGACATCTGTAAGAACTCTCTCCCTTTGGTCTTTATTTTTTGTGGTGATTGTGGGGTTAAGTGATTAACTGTTATATTTTGTGCACATCAGCAACGGAGCACTTCCTGCCCATCCATAGGGAAGCTCCATCCTTTGTAGAGCAGGCCACTGAGCAGCAAATTCTTGTCACTGGTATCAAGGTACTGGCAAACAACTAAGTTAGAAGTCCTCTTGTTTTTGTTCTGCTTTGCTTGTGCTCATGGAGCTAAACCATATCATCCCCCTTCTGTTCTAGAGATGTTGAACTAGACTAATTGATGCCATCTTTTGCTTTACCTCTGTTGTAGGTTGTTGATCTCCTCGCACCATACCAGAGGGGTGGAAAGATTGGTCTGTTCGGTGGGGCTGGTGTCGGGAAAACAGTGCTGATTATGGAACTTATCAATAATGTTGCCAAGGCCCATGGTCGGTAGTTCTCCTTGAATCCTAGGTGTTTTTATGGGCTTGGTATCTAGTTCTCTAATGTTAATTATTTGAACAGGTGGTTTCTCTGTTTTTGCTGGTGTTGGGGAACGTACCCGTGAGGGTAATGACTTATACAGAGAAATGATTGAGAGTGGTGTCATTAAGCTAGGGGACAAGCAGGTTAGTATTTCTACCTTGCTTAATTGTGATTAAGGTTTTTGCATGTACTAGTGTTGGTTAACTTGTATGCTGTTTGTCTGGGCAGGCTGACAGCAAATGTGCTCTTGTGTACGGTCAAATGAATGAACCACCGGGTGCTCGTGCCCGTGTTGGTCTCACTGGTCTAACTGTTGCAGAGCACTTCCGTGATGCTGAAGGCCAGGATGTGCTTCTCTTTGTTGATAACATTTTCCGATTCACCCAGGTGAGAAGCATAGTTACTCAATTCCATTTCTTGTTTGGTGGACTTTCCGGCTAAAGTATCAGAAATGATGACCTACTCATTTTGGGGACTTTGACGTCGTCGTGTAGGCCAACTCAGAGGTGTCTGCCTTGCTTGGTCGTATTCCATCTGCCGTGGGGTACCAACCAACTCTTGCTACAGATCTTGGAGGACTCCAAGAGCGTATTACAACCACCAAGAAGGGTTCCATTACTTCCGTGCAAGCTATCTATGTGCCAGCTGATGATCTGACAGATCCTGCTCCGGCTACCACTTTTGCTCACTTGGATGCCACCACTGTTTTGTCACGACAGGTGGGATTTATGAATCATTACCGTCACCTTACATTTATCTCAAGTAGTAGTTGTCTACTAGTAGGATTTCTAATTGTGAGATTTCTTTGAGGGAGAGCAGATTTCGGAGCTGGGTATCTATCCTGCTGTTGATCCACTGGATTCCACATCCCGTATGCTTTCTCCTCACATTCTAGGAGAAGATCACTACGGAACTGCTCGTGGAGTGCAGAAGGTTCTCCAGAACTACAAGAATCTTCAGGATATTATTGCCATATTGGGTATGGATGAGCTCAGTGAAGATGACAAGTTAACGGTTGCTCGTGCCCGTAAAATTCAGAGGTTCTTGAGCCAGCCTTTCCATGTCGCTGAAGTTTTCACGGGTGCCCCTGGCAAGTACGTTGAGCTGAAGGAGAGCATCGCCAGTTTCCAGGTACTCAAACCCACACCATTTGTTGAAATCAAAACCATTGCTTGTATGTTGTATCATCAACTCGTTAGGCTGATAATATTTGTTGGGTTTGTGATCAGGGTGTGTTGGATGGAAAGTACGACGACCTCCCAGAACAGTCATTTTACATGGTAGGAGGAATCGAAGAGGTGATTGCCAAGGCCGAGAAGATTGCCAAGGAGAATGCATAGTAAAACACAAAGGGAAGATGTGGCCTTTTTGTTTTTCCTTGTTATTTTTGGGGGGCGGGTTTAATCCCATCATGACAACTTAGCCTTTTAATCTTGGGTGTTCCCCTGTCCTCTGATAATTCCGAAAATCAATAATGACAGCCAGTGGCAAAGGGGATTCCTTGCCCGAGGATGATGATGATATGTTCGAATTTTTTTGAAACTAGAAAAGATTGCGGGATTGGCTTTTCTCTATTGCTGGTCTTTTGACCGGCCCGAATTGGATGCAGTTGAACCCCTCCCCGAATTATTTTGTTCAATAAGCTGTTGGTGGGGATGATGAGAAATATGATGTTGGGGAGTTGTATATCAGGTGCTGCCTTTGCGAGCTGACCTTTCTAGATGCTCTGCTGTTTTTTTATGTGACAATTGTTGGCAATTTCTGACCTGACTACGACTGTGGCTCTTATTTGATGGGCAGTAGCATGTCTTATATTGCTTCCAACATGTTTTGGTTTATCTCGTTCTATTTTCAGACTTGTTCGGTCATGATTTGCATCAATAATTATCTGTATTTCTTCTCTTTTAATCTTTAAAATTAATATATTTTCATTTAAAAAAATATAAGATTATCGGAGAGCTTATCCTAGAAGTTTTCTTCAAATTCTTGATTTATTTGCTCGGATTCGGGCATATTGTCTCCTCAATCAGAGTTTATGTGGATACCATTTTCATCCATAATTTGGGGAGTAAATTAACGTGTTGTTGCAGAAGTTATTTCCATCTCCTGACCGTTAGCCTGATAATTATCCTCCGAGGGTTTTGGCCATGGGAAAAATCAACCAGGTCTGATATCAGGGACAACTGGATTGGAGCCCTTCTTGACGAAGTTCTGCATTGTTTATCTAACTTAAGGGGGTTCAGTGTGCGGTTTCTAGATCGGCGTAGTAATAGGGTAGCCCATTTGGTGGCTAGGAAGGCTCTTCTTTTGTACCCGACTGCAAGTCGTTTCTTTGACTTTATGGTCTGATTAAATTATAGGATGTAACTATTTTTTTCTGATCAATATATGATTATCTTTTTTTTTCTTCATCCCTTCCCATGTGAGCGATCATATTTCTCAGTCGGGCACTCCTACATCTCCCATCTGTGAGAGTGAGATGGGATGGGATGGCAATAAATACTCGGCTGATAGAGGCCTGCAAAACTCACTCTACTTTGAGCATCATAACGACATAACCTCAGTATCGAGCAACAAAAGCAAGTGAATCACTTGGCCAATCAACCCTAAATTTTGAGGGCACATCTTTTAGGTTCGTTTCTCTTTGCATTTTGCTCTTTTCTTCTTTGTGGCAAGATGAGAATGGTTGGGCTTTTAGGGTTATTGCTATGCATGGGTCTTCTGATTCGATATATACTCCTGTTCTGGATGGCTTGGGCTAGCACCATGGGTCCATGCAAGGGTAAAGACTAGATTGTCAACATCAGGCTCAGCTTTTCATGGATAATATGTCGATTCCCTTGCTCCAACGTATCGTCAATAATCGGTGGAAGTGCAGTGCTCCAATGGCGGTTTTGGAAGATGGTTGCTACAAAATACACTCATAACGAAGGCCAAGTGTAACCAATAAAAGAGACTATAGTATAGCGCCACAGTAATAAAATATTGAATACACGAGTCTCTAGATTTACTATTAGTCAGCTTCAGTTTATTATTAGCAGAATAGATCTAGAGTAAACAACTTGACTCGCTCTAAACTACTCTCCCAATCGAAGACCAAGTATAACCAACTATCGAGTGTAGCATAGTGGAAGTAAAGTAATAAAATTATGAACCCTAGGGTCTTTAGGTGTACCATTACGCCGCTTTGGTTTGTTAACTAGCGAAACAAGGTTTGAGATTAAGAAACTAAGCTCACTAAACTACTCCAACAACTACACTAACTAATTACAAGTTGGGAGCTCACTTAGGTATTGATCCCCCTAGTCACTAGCCTGATCAAAGATTGATGATTCTCTAACTTGATTCATTCTCCATTCATAGCGCGGAGGATCTTTGACTAATCCTTGAATCTCTACTGGAGCAATCAAGACCCTTTTGAGTCAGTTGCTTAGATGGTTTAGACCCCTCTAATGGGTGTGATAGAAACTACATTTCTGCAGTTTAACTATTTGGACTATTTTGTCGATTTCTTATTATTTATGTTTCTATTGGGAACTTTGAGGGAAATTTTGAGGAGACTAATAAGTTAGGGTAGTATTTGGAAATTGTCGGATTATATAAATATTTTGTAATTAGGGATTATGACACTAAGCAAAGATTAAACCTAATACCCTTTTCCTAATCCCTCATCTCTTTCCTTCTCTACTGAATTCCCTCTCCCTCTCTTCCAAGTTGTCGCTGCAACATTCTTCTTCTTCCCTCCTTCTCTAAATCTCATCTCACCTCCCATCAACCCCCAGTCACAATGGCGAATCAATCCCTAGTTGATCGCCCATTCCTCAATTCCTAGATAGAATCTCGAGGCATTAGACTCCGGTTTCTATCATTTGGTATTAGAGCCCGGTTCCGAGAATGGAGTATGTCACGATTGTAGATCATGGACGAGTAGAGAAGACCAATGGAGGTAACCAAGTCATAGACCGCGACAGACAAGGCTGCCGAGAAGGCTGCAATGGAGAAAACTGGAGAGGAAATATGAGCCAAGACACACACCACCGGTGTACCTAGAGATATCCTGAAAAAAAGCTCCTTGTCGCAAGAGGAGTAGGTGTGCGAGGGGGTCGTGGCAGATGAGACGGAGAATGAGGCTCTCAAGGCCTCAATGCAAACTCTCATGGAAATGCAGCTGAGAACGGACGCCAGCGTAGCGGAGATTAGGGCTGGGAAAATAGAAGAGACCGTTAGAAAAACCATGGTCCAAACCGTACCACACAGTTTGGTCCGGACCGTAGACCGTTAAGTATGTTCTGGTCTGGTCCATGGTCTGTATTATCTTATGTTTTGATCTCTTGGTCTGGTCTGGTCTAGACCGCGGTTTACCGGACCAAACCGTGGACCCAACTGACTTGTCAATATGTGTTAACAGCCCATTCGACCACTCTCCCAACTCCCAAAACGACACCCAAGTTTCAACCTTAGTTTTGTGAATCTCGTCCCTCCTTCATTCACAACCGCATTTAACCAGAGAGTAGAGATAATTGTGTCTCTATATGGCATTATGTTAATGGCATGACGTTATGGTGCAAGTTGGGATGCTTTTACTTTTGTATCTTTGTCATGTACTAAGATTTAGAGTATCAAAATTATTCATGCATGTTAGGATTAATGTTTTAAGGCAAATAACAACTATTTTTCTTGGTTATTGGTTCAATTTTTTGTGTGGCTTACTAAACAAATTATTCATTTTTCGTTGAGTTTGGTCTTTCTGAACCAGACCAGACCGTACAGGCGTGGTCTGTGGTCAATACTTTAACCTCTCGGTCTGAACCATAGATCGTATATATGGTCTGGTCCGGACCAGACCGCACCTTTTCCCAGCCCTAGTGGAGCTGCGAGTCAAGGTGGAGGAGTCCAGAGGTCTATGGCTGTGTTAACAAAGACCCTCGCTAAGGTGCGGGAAGGACAGAGGCAGATGGCTCCTTGGCAGCAGCGCCGATACGAAGGCTCCGATCGTGATGCCGAGGGTGGCGGTGGCATAGCTTAGCGCCGCCGCAGGAAGAAAGAAGACGATCGAGGCGTAGACGAGAAGCACTACCGTGGAAGGAGGAGTAGCGCCAAAAACAGGTGAAATGATGGCTAGGGTAAGCACAACCCCATGCCTGGAGACCTCGGAGCATGTGGGACATGGGGAAAGTGGGCCATGAGATGGAACTGGCTGTTACCAATTCCATCGGCCCAAGAGATAGCTGCGCTACGTGGGAAGGCTAAAATGTCGGGGCTAGGACAACGTGGTCCAAAATCAAGGCTTCGGGTTGCTGGGCCAGAGAGGATGCGGTTGGACCAGAGAGGGCGATATAGGGCGGACTAGAAAGGTAGCAGTCGGAGCAAACCAAACCATTCGGACCGGAACTGGTTGAACCGAGAATGGTCGAACCGATAGCAGCAAATTGACTCACCCTTGTGTTATCGATCCCCTACTTACAATCTATGGTGCTCTAATTGACATAGATATATATTCACTCTCATAGGTCAATAGCAATATCAACTAATCCTGATCAATGAAAATTTAAAATAAAAACATGCATGGTTTGGATATGAACTCAAGAATGCCAAGATATAGTATTCATACAATCATTCAGTCAAGCTAAACATAGTTAGGGTTCATCAAAACCTAAGTGAAGGAAAATACAGTATAAAACTCAAGATTTTCAATCTTCATGTCCAGGGTTGATCTTCCAGATCCATTGGTGATGGGTACCTCCAGTTTAGCTCCAAGAACCCTCCTAGATCGCTCTCCCTCTCTTTGGATTGCTTCTTGGGAGTTTTTGGCCGAAAACACATATCTTCCCTCTCCAAAATCACAGTAGCAGCTATATATCCGAAGAGTTGCCCGACTCACGGTCTTATGTCACATCCATGACATCGACACAATGAACGTGACATTAACTAGAAATGCACCGCATTAGATGAACAAGTCACGGCTGTGTTACTGATGTCACGATTGAAGTTCAAAAGGTCAAGAATCTTAGCATTGAGAATGACATCAAGCACAAGATGAGTATGTCCACGAAGAATCAAGAACTGCATCACATCCCAAAAAAACTCTTCATGAGAGATAATAAAATATGCCAATAGTTTATTACGTCATGGACTGAATATGTACATTTAGTTAGTTGTATCCACTTAAGTGCGCGCGCTCACACACACACACACACACACACACACACAATTATGATGCCTAAGAGTACAATGACCAATACAGATTGACAACTTGCATTGGTAAAATCATATCAAAATTGTACATCATCAAGAATACTAAATAATCCAATCTAGTTAAACTCTAGATTAGCAAAGTAGTAATACCATAGGGTGGTGACCAAGGTTGTATGCCTTGGGCCATTTAAGGCTAACACTACTCTTTAGCTCAAGCTACTATCTAGTCAATAATATGGAAATATTTGAAATATATGAATTAAACTAAGTAACATGAAAGAAACAAAACTAACTAGAAGGAGAATCTCTTGAGATAGGTGATTACTTAGGGTTGAATCCCTCTAGGATAATGTTGAAATGGGTTTATGGAATTAAACTAAGTCAATGAAGGATTTTCTATCTTGTAAATTCTAAGGAATCCCCTAGACTAGCAATCAAGTCAATGGACATGCACTTGATCACTCTTCTATGTAGCTAGGTTGGTTTAATGTCATGCAACCAACTAGATACCCAGAGCATAAGGTTTAGACTCCTTAAATACGTGCAAATGAGGCTATAACTCAATGGTCATACAATTATAACCTCAGTCTATTAATGGATGTTCTAATGTTGACCGGATTAGATGATCTTTTTCTCTTAGGCCAAGAACACCAAATCCAAATACCCAAAAAGCACAAGGAAGCATGATTAAATATCAATAGATACAAACAATGATGTTAACATCAGGTTGAGTCATTCGATCCGATCGGTAAAAAACTGGGATCCGTCACCAGCTCGATCCGAATAATTTATTAACCTCCAACTTTGAAATGCACGGTTGGATAACAGTTCGACAGTTAATCGTTCAAACTGGACGAACTGACCATCCCGCCCAAAGTTTCCAACCATCAAACGAAAAAAAAATTTTAAGGTGCATTTGAGCAGTTGGAGCTTGGTAGGAAGAAATATAAAAAATCATAGTTTCTCCTCTTCTTACCTCAAGAAGCAATGATTGAAGCTGAAGCTCGTGCCAACACCATCTCTCAGCCATTCACCTTGCGTGTTTCTTCCTTGTGTTGGCTACCTCCATTTCCCCAATGACAACTGGTCGATTTCATAGAAATAGAAAATCATTGTGATGATGAGGTAGGAAGTGAGAGAGACAAGAAGGAAGAGGGAGGGAATATGTGTTCTTCTTTTCTGGGAATGATAGGAGAGATGGGGAGAAACTGAGAGTGAGAGCGGCGGGGATGCATTACTATATAGTACTCAGAATTAAATTACGGATCAATCATCAAATTTTCTTAAACTATTGATGACTACGCATTTACAAATGTTTTACCTCTCATTTTTTGATTGTTTAGCGTGATGTTTATCATACTCTGGCCTATATTACGCTAGTTTATGTTCCTTTGTCAGATTTCAAGTCTTATCACGTAAAGTGAAGCATAGACGCAAGTTTCAAGTCAATCGGAGATCAATTGGCGACTCAGGGGAAGAAACTCGAGCATGACTTGAGGAAGAATGAATTTCTACCTCATGTTATGGGTTACATGTACTTTTAATTGAGAGAAATTTACCATCATTTGGATATCCTACTGCATTGGGAGATTCAAGTTCTAAGTTTGTTGAGCTATGCATTAATCAAACAAAGAAATAAGTTGAAAGTTAACTTCATGCGATAATGGCATATAATAATTTGAGTTATCTAGGTAAAGTTGTTGTCAATAAGTTGAAGATAATGTTAGACACTTGCAATATTTAGCATAAACAATCATATGCATCAAAGAAAAAATCAATAAAAGACCATGTTCACATTATCAAGTTGAAATTTGTTGATCAATCGGAGATAAGATGGTCATGTTATAATCTTCCAACTGGTGATAATTTTGCTACTCTTCTTATTTGACATTGTTGTTGATTTGGGTTAGACACATAATAAACATTACGAACTTCCTATCAATCGAAACTTGAATCATAAATAGTGAGATAAATAAATACAAAGAAATAGAAGGTGGACACCATTGAAAAACAATGACAAATAATTAAACACAAACAAAGAAACACACCGCCCATTGGGCGACACAAAACTAATAACTTATATATAAGCACAATACATGTGACTATAGGTGGCAATAGGGCGGGTTCGGGCTGGGTTCAATCGGGTTGCGGGTTAGTCAGGTTTCGGGTTCGTCGGGTTGCGGGTTCGTCGGGTCGAGTTCAATCAGGTTCGGGTTCAAACAGGTTGCGAGTTAGTTGGGTTGCGAGTTCATCGGGTTCGGGTTCAATCGGGTTGCGGGTAAATCAGGTTGCGGGTTTATCGAGTTTCGGGTCGGGCGGGTTGCAGACAGATCGGGTCGCGAGTTGTTCGGGTCAACGCATCGAGTTACATACTCATTACTCGCTACCAACTTACACAGTTTATTACACTAATGAAAAAAAATCACAATTTTTAACCAATTACTTTCTACTTCGTATATATACTTAATTTTTTTTTTAAACTAGTAAAAAATGTTGAATCATTTTGCAAACTTGCCATGTAATTATCATAATTCGTAAAGTAGACTAGCTAATAGTAATCGTGATATCAACATGTGCAACCAATAGATAGTATTAACAAAGCATACATTCAGAAAACAAAATACCACTCTAAAAGCAAAGAAGAAAAACACTTTTTCCTATTTCAAAATTTTTTACCAGCAATATAGATTAACCCAAACAAAAATTGAGCGGCAATATAGATAAATCCAAACGAAAATTGGGCGACCATTTGGAGCGGGAAAGAAAAAGTTGGGCGGCAATGTATATCAAGTAAAAAGAAAATTCGGCGACATTTTGCAACGGGAAGGGAACAAACATAGACACATAGAAAACAAGTAGATAAATTAAATGAACCTTCCAAAAACAAATGATTGTTGAAACTAATTGTTAATAGTCTGCTCGACTTGCATCATTGAATTGATTAACCTAAATCAAACTAGTTCTTTTCCAAGGGCCATTCGTTGATTGATAGCAGGATTATGTAACTTATAGAAAGACTGTTTTTTTTTAAGGAAAACATCATGAATATCCATTCACCAAAGCACAACACACGAAAGCTTCCTTACATATTATTATCCATAACCCAATATTTGACAAGTCTATTTCATAAAAGTTACAACTAACTGTTGGCCCGCCTACATATGGTGAGGAAGAAGCCAGCAATTCAGTTGGCGGTGGAAATTAAAAAAAAATGTCAACAAAGTCACCGAATGCAGTTGGGGAGGTGAGTGAGCAGGTGGGAATTCATTTCCCTTTGTCTCCCATTAGCCTATAAAAGGCAGAGGCAGTAGCCTCATTTCCATCATCCTTCAACATTCCATCATTCTCCATTTCCTTTGTTCTGCTTCTGTTCGTATTTCTTTTGTGGGTTTTTGGTAGTGAAACATTTTCACTACCACGGGTAGATAGGAGATTTCCTTGTGAGTGAAATAGTGAGGTTGTTTGGGAAACACCGTGTGTTCTATTTCTTGTATCGAGAAAATCTCTGTAACCTATCATTGTTATAGTAAAGAAATACTCCGGAGCTGCTGTTCCCGTGGACTGGCCCAAAATCAGGGTATACCACGTAAATCCTCGGTGTCATTTATTATTATCTATGCTTGTTGTTATTTTGAGAATAGTCGTAGTATATTGCATTATTAAATTACCGAAGTAAATTGATCTAAGTAAGTTGGTTACCGTAATTCTGGAGGCTCTGCCACCAGGTCCAACTTATTTGTGAACTTTTTACAAGCGTGTGATTTCTTAGTGCAATATATTTACCCGCTATTCCCACCCGCTGCGCCCAACAAGTGGTATCAGAGCCACGTCCAATGGAGGCAAAAACAAGCAAGATGATAAGTCTGAATGGCTCCAACTATCACATATGGAGAAACAAGATGAAGGATCTCCTACTCGTGACGGAGTTGCATTTGCCGGTGTTTAGACCAACTAAACCTGATGGCAAAACTGAAGAGGAATGGGAGTTCAAGCATAAGCAAGTATGTGGCTACATTCGACAGTTCGTCGACGATAATGTATACAACCACATTAGCGGAGAAACTCATGCCAGAACTCTGTGGAACAAGCTGGAGGCACTTTATGCATCAAAGACCGGCAACAACAAATTATTTTATCTGACCAAGTTGGTCCAGATGAAATACAAGGAAGGCAAATCCTTGGCGGATCACTTGAACGAAATTCAAGGGATCGTGGATCAGTTGTCCGGTATGGGCATAAAGATGGAAGATGAGGTGGTCGCTCTCCTCGTTCTGGCTTCCCTTCCAGAATCTTGGGAGACGCTAAAAATTTCACTTACCAACTCTGCGAAAGATGGAGTTATAAACATGGAGATTGTCAAAAGCGGAGTCCTGAACGAAGAGATGCGAAAAAGATCACAAGGTGCATCCTCATCATCTTCCCAGTCAGACCTTCTGACAGTGGATTCCAGAAGCAGAGGAAGAAGTGAAGCTAGAGGCTCAAAGCAAAGAGGCAAGAGTCGAGGGAAGTCCAACAAGTTTGCCAACATCCAATGTCATCACTGCAAGGAAAAGGGCCACATAAGAAGATTTTGCCCAAAGTTCAGAAATGAGAGAAAGAAGGGCAAACGAGATGAGAACAGTGATGATGATGGTGCAAACTCTGTAGATGAGTTCAATATTGTCTACGATGAAGATGTTGTCAACCTGACAACCCAGGAGACAAGCTGGGTGGTTGATAGTGGTGCTACCATCCACGTGACGTCCAAGAGAGAATTTTTCTCATCTTACACACCAGGTGACTTTGGTGTGGTAAGAATGGGAAATGGTAATCTTTCCAAAGTTATCGGAAAAGGAGAAGTCTGCTTGGAGACGATGAATGGTACGAAGCTACTGCTGAAGGATGTCAGGCATGTTCCAGAAATGCGCCTGAATCTCATCTCTGTAGACAAGTTGGATGAGGAAGGTTACTGCAACACCTTCCATAATGGCCAGTGGAAACTCACCAGAGGCTCCTTGGTGTTGGCCAAGGGCAAGAAGCTGTCAAAGCTGTATGTGACGGAAGCCAAGATCTCCCCAGAGATTGTCAACTCAGCGGAGAATGGTGACACAATTGAATTGTGGCACAAATGGCTCGGTCACATGAGTGAGAAGTCCATGGCAAAGTTGGCCCAGAAGAAAGTCATAATTGGGTTGGATCATGTTCATCTAAAGAAGTGTGTCGATTGCCTTGCGGGAAAGCAAAACTGAGTTGCTTTCAAAAGTTCCATCCCTTCAAGAGCGAAGAACGTGTTGGATCTAGTTCACTCAGATCTCTGTGAACCCGATGTCAACGTCAAATCACTTGGAGGTGCCAGATATTTCGTGACATTCATTGATGACCATTCACGGAAGACTTGGGTGTATACCTTGAAGACCAAGGATCAGGCCCTAGACGTTTTCAAACAATTCCTGGTCCTGGTGGAGAGGGAAACTGGCAAGAAGCTGAAGTGCATCCGGACTGACAATGGTGGAGAGTACAGAGGTCCGTTTGCTACCTTTTGTAAGGAACATGGAATTCGGCAGCAATTCACACCACCAAAGACGCCGCAATTGAATGGGCTAGCTGAGAGGATGAACAGGACCCTGCTAGAGAGAGTCAGGTGCTTGTTATCACACTCGAAGCTACCACAATCTTTCTGGGGGGAGGCACTGCTTGCAGCAGTTTACGTGTGGAACAGGTCACCCAGTGTGCCACTGAAGTATGACGCCACAGAGAAGGTGTGGACAGGAAAAGAAGTTTCCTACAAACATTTGCGGGTGTTTGGTTGCAAGGCCTTTGTCCATATTCCAAAGGATGAAAGGTCAAAGTTGGATTCAAAGACGCGACCATGCGTATTCATTGGCTATGGTCAAAATGAGTTTGGCTATAGATTCTTTGATCCAATCCAGAAGAAGCTTATCAGAAGCCGTAATGCTGTGTTCATCGAAAATGAGACCATCGAAGATGTTGTTGCTAGGAAAGAAGTTCCTAGTACTGATGCTAGTCAACCAAGCCTTGGGCTAGTACCTCCAACGCCGGCGCTTACAGAAGTTGGAGAAGAAGCACAACATGATCAGCCTGAGATAGTTGAACAAGATGCTCCTGTGGAGGTTCAACCAGAAGATGCTGATGACGATGGTCAACCACCAGCCATTGAGGGTTCTCCTGTTCAAATGAAGAGATTTGGTAGGGTCACACGACGCTCTACCAGATATCCTGAGACTGAATATGTGTCACTTACTGACGGGGGAGAACCAGAAAGTTTCACAGAAGCCATGAATGATGAACACAAGCAAAGGTGGATAGAAGCCATGCAAGACGAGATGGATTCCTTGTATGAGAACAAGACATTTGAGCTGGTGAAATTGCCCAAAGGCAAGAGAGCTTTGAAGAACAAGTGGGTGTTCAAGATTAAACATGATGAACACAACCGTCAGCCACGCTTCAAAGCCAGACTAGTTGTGAAAGGCTTCAGTCAAAGGAAAGGCATTGAGTTTGACGAGATATTTTCACCTGTGGTGAAGATGACATCCATTCGTACTGTGTTGGGACTAGCAGCAAGTCTTAACCCGGAGGTTGAACAAATGGATGTGAAAACTGCTTTCCTTCATGGTGATTTGGAGGAAGAGATTTACATGGAGCAACCAGAAGGCTTCCAGAAGGAGAAAAAGGAGGACTATGTGTGCAGGCTCCGTAAGAGCTTGTATGGCTTGAAGCAGGCACCAAGACAGTGGTATAAGAAGTTTGAGTCTGTTATGGGGGAGCAAGGCTACATGAAGACTACTTCAGACCACTGCGTGTTCGTGAAGAAATTTCCTGGTGGAGATTTCATCATACTTTTGCTCTATGTGGATGATATGCTAATTGCTGGGCAGAACGTCTCAAAGATCAATGGTTTGAAGAAGGAGTGGAGCAAGTCTTTTGCCATGAAAGACTTGGGACCAGCAAAGCAAATTCTTGGCGTGAGGATCGTTCGGGATCGAGGTGCCAAGAAGATATGGTTGTCACAAGAGAAGTACATTGAGAAAGTACTTCAACGTTTCAACATGGATAATGCTAAGGCGGTTAGCTGTCCTCTTGCTAACCACTTTATATTGACATCCAAACAGAGCCCGTCTACTGAGAAGGAAAAGGCGGAGATGGATAAAATTCCATATGCTTCAGCAGTGGGAAGTTTGATGTACGCCATGGTGTGTACAAGGCCAGATATTGCTCATGCAGTTGGAGTTGTCAGTCGGTTTCTTTCCAAACCAGGAAAGGAACATTGGGAAGCTGTGAAGTGGATCCTCAGATACCTTCGAGGTAGCTCCAAAATGAGTCTATATTTAGGAGATGGTGAACCTGTCCTTGTTGGCTATACAGATGCTGACATGGCAGGTGATGTTGATTCGAGGAGGTCCACTTCTGGGTACCTGATTACCTTATCAGGGGGAGCAATATCGTGGCAGTCAAGGCTACAAAAGTGTGTAGCTCTTTCCACAACAGAAGCTGAGTATATAGCAGTATTGGAAGCATGCAAGGAGATGATATGGATGAAGAAGTTCCTGAATGAACTTGGGTTCCTACAGGAACAACCCAGCTGTTCTGTGACAGTCAGAGTGCTATTCATCTTGCGAAGAATGCTTCATTTCATGCTCGATCAAAACATATCGATGTTCGATATCACTGGATTCGTGATGTACTTGAAATGAAGCAGCTACAACTGGAGAAGATCCATACTGACGAAAATGGATCTGACATGTGTACCAAGACTCTTCCAAGAGAAAAGTTTGAGTTCTGTCGATTAGCTGCAGGGATGACGAAGTCACCTATGTAGTCAGGCGGGGGAGAATTGTTGGCCCGCCTACATATGGTGAGGAAGAAGCCAGCAATTCAGCTGGCGGTGGAAATTAAAAAAAAAATGTCAACAAAGTCACCGAATGCAGTTGGGGAGGTGAGTGAGCAGGTGGGAATTCATTTCCCTTTGTCTCCCATTAGCCTATAAAAGGCAGAGGCAGTAGCCTCATTTCCATCATCCTTCAACATTCCATCATTCTCCATTTCCTTTGTTCTGCTTCTGTTCGTATTTCTTTTGTGGGTTTTTGGTAGTGAAACGTTTTCACTACCACGGGTAGATAGGAGATTTCCTTGTGGGTGAAATAGTGAGGTTGTTTGGGAAACACCGTGTGTTCTATTTCTTGTATCGAAAAAATCTCTGTAACCTATCATTGTTATAGTAAAGAAATACTCCGGAGCTGCTGTTCCCGTGGACTGGCCCAAAATCAGGGTATACCACGTAAATCCTCGGTGTCATTTATTATTATCTATGCTTGTTGTTATTTTGAGAATAGTCGTAGTATATTGCATTATTAAATTACCGAAGTAAATTGATCTAAGTAAGTTGGTTACCGTAATTCTGGAGGCTCTGCCACCAGGTCCAACTTATTTGTGAACTTTTTACAAGCGTGTGATTTCTTAGTGCAATATATTTACCCGCTATTCTCACCCGCTGCGCCCAACACTAACAAGGAATCAGATGAGCTATATTGTGAGCTACTCTATTTGATTCACGATTAGAGAAAGACCAACCTTGTAGTTGTAACCCTAGTTGCCTTCCTCGGTCTGTTATATCTTTGCAGATATAACGAGGTTATGTCCTTTAGCTCTTCATGGTTTTTTTATCCCGTCAATAAGCTTCTTACAATTCCAGTTAAAAAAAAGCTTCTTACAATCCGATTCCATAAGCAAAGGACCAATGCCTTTTTCGCCTGCTTTCTCCAGTCCAAACAAGATCGCCCTTCCTTATGCAATTTATGCACTTCAATTTTTCAGTTTCAGCTCGGGTTGCCCCCATCCAAACCCAACCTCACCCCTACAGTTTCTGCCAGCATCCGTATTAAACTTAATTCCCGCTGGTGGCAATTCAAATCAAAGTGCGAGCTACAATCTATGAAATAAATCAAAGAGTAGAATATAAAAAGCAATTGAAAAACAGGAACCCTAAGATAGACATATCATCTTTAGACGAGTAAGACTTCTCTTCTTTTCATCGGGGTGAGCTAATTTGGAGAAGCATAGAAGTGCGTGAGTGATTAGCAAAACAGTTTGAAGGTAAATATAGAAAGGGGAATAGCTTTGATTGAAATTGAATCATTTTTGGTCACAGAGCAAAGCTGAAAAACAAAGCTATCGTTTTCTGAGAATCAAAATCTGAAGAAAACTTGTTTAGTTGAGAATTTGGTGAGTTCTGAAACTGGATTCTGAAAATGGAAACCTGTTTAGTAACTTCATACTGTTTTCTGATAATTGATTGCCACCATCTTTTGATGGAGTATCGTACAACTTTAGTGATGATTATAATTTTTAATATGAATCACATTGCTATCCCACAACTTATTAGTAATCCCATCACGTCGTATATTCGTTGCTTGAGTTTGATTTGAATTGAAAATTTTCACTTCTTTTTCTTGTCTCCTTCTTGTCATCTCTTCCTATTCAAGTAGGTAATAACACTAATGGTGAGAGGTTAACATATTATCATCTAATAAAGGAAAATGGGCACACAGAAAGGCATGTTGTACTGAGGGAAACAAGAGACTATATTGCAGGCTGATTGATAACCATGTTCTTGTAAGCTTATACCCACAAATGGCTAGCTGATAGCAGTAGACTTGCTGCCATTACTTCTCTCAATTTGAGAGCAACTACGACAAAGACAAGCTATCTCATTTAAGATGTAGTGATTATTGAGGAATCAAGTTTGGTTAATATTGGAGTTGGGCCAGCAACGTCAAGCCCACCAGCCCCAGCCGCAGCCCAGCTCGTCCAGCTCTCATCCGAGTTCGTCCCAGGCTTGCTGTGCAAGCAGTGGAATCCGTAGCCAGCAAGGTTGCAATTTAATTACTTGTCCAAGTTGTAATACCCTAGGTCATTGGCGAAAAGGGTATATATATTGTATAAGGCCATCGGCCAAAACCTAAGAAGCAGATCAATAAAATATCAGCTGGAGAGTTGATCTCTCCCGTGGACTAGTCCCGGTAATCGGGGATACCACGTAAATCTCGAGTGTCTTGTTCATCGTTTCCTTCAGTTTTTTCATGGTATCAGAGCATTGATCCACCCGTTGCTCATCGATCATGTCTGGAACAGATTCCATCCTCACCACGCCTGGTTCGAGATCGAGCGATCCTAGCTCGACAGATGCGGACCGAGATGTTCATAGTCCGTTCTTCATGCATCAGTCAGACAGTACTGGCCATCTTCACGTCAGTAGCTTGCTTACGTCGTCAAACTATAGCGAGTGGGTTCTGGAGATGACTGATGCCCTTGTCACGAAGAACAAAGTTGGGTTCGTCGACGGGACCATTCCTCGACCAGAGGGAGTCGGGACGCCTCAGTCCATTGTATGGGCACGCTGTGATGCCCTAGTCAAGGGCTGGCTTCGTACAGCCATGGATGCCGAGATGCGAAGCAGCGTGATGCACGCTAAAACTGCCCAGGAGATATGGGAAGATCTCCGGGATCGATTCAGTAAAGGAATTCTGACGAGGGCATATGAGCTGCGTCGTCATGTGGTTCTACTTCAGCAGGAGAAGCAATCTGTCTCCGCGTTTTATACAAAATTGTGGAAGGTCTGGGAAGAGACACAGAACATCCTGCCGCCGCCATTATGCGCTTGCGGGCGGCGCGGTCGTGACCAGAATGAGAGCCTCCGCCTTCTGGACTTCCTGTTGGGTCTTGATGACTCGTACGCAACCGTGCGCAGCCAAATATTATCCATGGCAGCAACGCCATCTCTCCCGGAAGCTTTTAGGATTGTCTACAATGAGGAACAGCTGCGAACTTTAACGCAAAACAGAAAACCCATTTCCGAAGCGGCAGCTGTCGTCGCGCGAGGAGATGGCGAGCGCTCTTCCTCAGGGGCCATGGTGCGCGTGATCGGAATACGGGGGAGAGAGAGCGGCCGATTTGCAGCAACTGTCTCAAGCCTGGACACCTAAAGGAATCGTGCTACGAACTGATAGGGTACCCCCCAGGCTGGAACTTGCGGGAGAAGCAAAGCGATAAGCAAGGAAAGCGTCGCCCTCGTGAGTCAGGCCGTGATACTGGTTCTGCCCGTGGACAAGGACGGGAGCCGAGGGCCTCCCAAGTTGATGGGGAAGCTAGTCCCGTCGCTGGTTTCAGTTTGCAGCAGCTGGAACAACTAAAGCAATTTTTTGGGAATCAACTTCAAGGAGCGGCAGACCCGACAAGCCATATGGCTGGTACGTTTTCCTCTTTCGATGCCCCCGAGTGGTTAATTGACTCGGGGTGCAACGAACATATTACTATGGATGATAACATTTTATCTTCTTCTAATGTTGAATTGCCAAGTCATCCTGTTCGTATCCCTAATGGAGCCAGCATACCAGTAAAGCGGATTGGTTCCGTCCATTTAAGCGATCGAATGACACTCGATCGAGTCTTATATGTGCCGGAGTTTCGATGTAACCTCCTGTCGGTAAGTCGTCTTTGCCAAGAACATAATGTGGCTTTAATCTTTCTTGGGAACTTCTGCGTTATACAGGACTTACACTCCAAGAACGTGATTGGGAAGGGGGAGATCCGTGATGGACTGTACTTCTAGCGGCTGTTTGGATGTCGTGGAACGCGTGCTCATGCGGTGGTAGAGAGAGGCTCAAGTCGTAAGATTCCATGGCATGCAAGACTTGGACATCCTTCGCCAGCCATTATGACTGATCTCAGTAAAACTTTGTCGTTATCTACAGACTTGGTAAATGATATTTGTCATTCTTGTTCTAGAGCTAAGCAGACTCGAAATCCCTTCCCTGTCAGTGGGATTCGTACTTCGTCATGTTTTGAATTATTGCACATGGATATTTGTGGAGGGTATCATACCCCATCATACAGTGGTGCACATTACTTCTTGACAATTGTTGATGATTTCAGTCGCGGTGTTTGGGTTTATCTTATTCCTTTTAAATATGAAGTTGCGCGGTATCTTCAATTTTTCTGCAATCTCGTTCGAACTCAGTTTGGTAAGCAAGTGAAGAGAATTCAGGCAGATAATGGTCCTGAATTCAACACTACTGGGTTACAGAGTTTTTATGAACAGGAAGGAATCTTGCTTCAGACCTCATGCACAGATACACCGCAGTAGAACGGTGTGGTGGAACGCAAGCATCGCCACTTGCTAGAGACAACGCGAGCTTTGCGATTTCAGGCTAGTTTGCCTATTCGGTTTTGGGGAGAATGCATTCTTACTGCTGCCTATTTGATAAACAGGTTACCCACAAAGGCAACAGGACGCACCCCGTAGGAGATCATCTTTGGAAAACCGGCGGCCTACTCCCATTTGCGAGTTTTCGGCTGCCTCGTATATTGCAAGGACACCCATGCCCATCTAGGGAAGTTTGATGAACGAGGAAGAGCTTGTGTGTTTATGGGCTACGCTTCCAGCCAGAAAGGCTACCGAGCATACGATCTCACAACTCGAAAAATTTATAGAAGTCGTGATGTTGTTTTTCACGAATCTGTTTTTCCCTTTCAGGCAGATATGGCTGGACAGTTCACTTGGACTTCGCCCTCCGCAGGCCCATCAGTTGATCTGGAAGATGAGTTGGTCCTTGCGGATGATTTGCATCAACCCATGGCCAATCTTAGGACATCAGCTGTAAGCCCACATGAGGCTTCCTCCTCGCCCGGGCCTTCATTATCTGGCCCACAGGACCGCACTGAAGAAACCAGTCGCCCTTTGAATGGGCCGAGGCCACAGGCCAAGCCCGATCACTCCCAAACGGCCCAGCTCGATCGCTCCCCCTGTTTGACCGACAAGTCCACCTCTTGCGATCGGACCGAGCCCAGTCCACAGCCCGCATCTGCCTCGCCTACTGCACCTAGAGATCCAGCAGCAGTTAATCCACTTCCACGTGGTTTCTACCCCCGAATCACCTCGTCGTAGTGACCGACAGCGGGTTCCCCCCAAGCGACTTGACATCTACTATACAGGGAGTCAAGCCAACTTTGTGCACTATCCTCTTTCTGATCATCTTTCTTATGATAATTTCTCCCCTAATTATTGTGCCTTTCTTGCTGCAGTGGCACATCATCCGAAGCCTCGATCATTTTTGGAGGTCGTACGAGAAGAATGCTGGCGCCGAGCTATGGTTGCGGAAGTAACAGCATTAGAGAAGAATGGGACTTGGAGTTTTGTTTATCTTCCTCCCGGCAAGCGTGTTATCGGTTGCAAGTGGGTTTACAAGATTAAGTTTTATCCCGATGGGACACTTGAGCGCTACAAGGCGCGTTTGGTGGCCATAGGCTACACTCAGATAGAGGGTGTCGATTTCCACGATACCTTTGCACCAGTAGCTAAACTTGTCACAGTCCGTTGCCTTCTCGCAGTTGCTGTCAGCAAGGGTTGGCATATTCACCAGTTGGACGTCAACAACGCGTTTCTTCACGGAGATCTCGATGAAGAAGTTTACATGCAGATTCCTCAAGGCTTTGCTGCACCAGGAGACAGGAGAGTGTGTCGTCTCCATAAGTCGCTCTATGGATTACGACAAGCCTCTCGTAATTGGTACCACAAGTTCACTCAGGCGCTATGTGAACTGGGATTTCGAGCCTCTCCTGCTGACCACTCTCTTTTTATCTTCCAGCGGGGGAGCATTCATGTTATCGCCCTCATCTACGTTGATGATGTTATTTTGGCAGGCACCAGTCTGGAGTTTATATCGCGAGTCAAAGCCTTCTTGCACTCGCAGTTCACCATTAAAGACCTTGGGAATCTACGTTACTTTCTTGGCTTGGAAGTGGCTCGCACACCAGACGGGATGGTCCTAAGTCAACGGAAGTACCTGCTCGATATTCTTGCCGACTCTGGTGTTGCTGGCAGTCGACCCAACGCTTTCCCAGTTGAACAAAATCATCAACTTACACGACCTGCTCCTGCTGATCATCCTGATCCGGCAGCATATCGACGCCTTGTGGGGCGTCTCCTCTACTTGACTGTCACCCGCCCAGATATAACTTATGGAGTCAATATTCTCAGTCAATTTGTCCATGCACCCACTCGAGCTCACATGGATGCGACACAGCGCATCCTTCGATACCTTAAGAATGCCCCAGGTCAAGGTCTTTTCTTCCCACATAATAATTCTCTCACCCTCACGGCATATTGCGATGCAGATTGGGGAGGTTGTCAGCTCACGCGTCGTTCCACCACCGGTTATGTTATTACTCTAAGGGGTGTTCCCATTTCTTGGCGAACGAATAAACAGCAAGTTGTTGCGCGTTCTTCTGCAGAGGCCGAGTACCGGGCGATGGCACACACAGGTAGTGAGATTTTATGGCTACGCTGGCTTCTACAGGAGTTGGGAGCAGCGCAGAGCACCTCTACTCCTCTTTACTGTGATAATCAGGCCGCGCTACACATCGCTGCCAATCCTGTTTTCCATGAATGCACCAAGCACGTCGAGATGGATTGCTACTTTGTTCGGGAGCGAGTTCAGTCAGGCGATATTCGCCCTCTGAAAATTAGCTCTCAGTTCCAGCTGGCGGACATGTTTACTAAAGGACTCGGAGCTGACCGTTTTCAATTCCTCTTGTCCAAGCTGCGCGTTCGTAATTTACACGCTGCAGCTTGTGGGGGAGTATTGGAGTTGGGCCAGCAACGTCAAGCCCACCAGCCGCAGCCGCAGCCCAGCTCGTCCAGCTCTCATCCGAGTTCGTCCCAGGCTTGCTGTGCAAGCAGAGGAATCCGTAGCCAGTAAGGTTGCAATTTAATTACTTGTCCAAGTTGTAATACCCTAGGTCATTGGCGAAAAGGGTATATATATTGTATAAGGCCATCGGCCAAAACCTAAGAAGCAGATCAATAAAATATCAGCTGGAGAGTTGACCCTCCCGTGGACTAGTCCCGGTAATCGGGGATACCACGTAAATCTCGAGTGTCTTGTTCATCGTTTCCTTCAGTTTTTTCAGTTAAGTGGTGCTCAAGCTATTCGCTAATCACCTACTTAGCTGCAATCATCTACTTATCTTCGACAATCGCCCTAAACAATGAAGCAATAAGGAAAAATTAAACCATTAAATTTAAACATATGCTCGATCGAGCATTAGAAGCCATCGATTGCAAAAAACTAGCAAACGAGAAATAATTTGCAGAACTATAACAAACTAAAGAAATATATAGAAGCTGTAGAACACCAGCAAGCAAGAAATAATTTGCAGAAAACCATTGGCTGCCGACGGGAGCTTCAATTCTAAATGATTTTTTTCAATGAAAAAGAACGGCAAGTGAACACGTTTTTTGTCATTTATTTCATTATTTTCATTTTTACAGAAAACAGAAAACGAAATGGAAAGTGAACAGGGCATAAGATTGAGATCCTTGCGTAAGATCATAATCAGAATTTTGACTACAGTGCATATAACAAACTAACAAGTGTGAATGCAAACGTATATAATGCTGGAGGTTAAGGTGCGAAAAAAGTAAATCTATAGTAAGTTGGCGAGTGAGGACGCATGACAGAAAGGTGTTGTATAGGCAAAGCTCGCCCTAGAGTTCGTAGATATGATCTCATCGCATATATATACATCTTAAACTTCCAATTACATACCTTAAAAATATTAAAATTAATTCATATCTAGATAAGTACATTGTTTATCGGAAGTTATTAAATTAGTTCATGTACTAGGTGTTAGTTTGTGTGTACTATAACAAAAGCAATTGGTTTATTATGTTATGACTCATGATAGGTTATCATATATATTATAACCAAATAGCAGTCTCCTATAAGGTTATAACAAGATTTATTATATAAAATATCTTAGTTACTAAATGCTAAACTCTATGCCCGTGACTGTAAAGGTTGTGATAATCACATTGGTAAATAATTAAGGGGTTGTTTGGAAGTTGCGAATGTTAAATCGTTGCATTGTAATGAATCACCATAATATAAATGCATGTATTGATACAATGGATGCATTTTAACAATACATTGTTTGGTTGTTGAAATTCTACTTTATGCATTGATTTACATAAAGTTACTTTTATGGAGAAATGTCAAATTTACCCTCAACTTTTAGTATAAGACAAAAACTATTTGGGATATAAATGAAAAGAAAAAGTTGACACAAATCTAAAAGCAACAATCACAACAATCTCAACTTTTAGTTGAGATTGTATAATGCATCATTTTTTGCGATTGTTGGTGGGACATACCTAAAACAATGCGTGTTTTACAGTTTGGTACTTCCAAACATTGTATTGTGCACAACACATGTATTTAAAAAACACAACTCTAACAATCACAACTTCCAAACGACGTCTAAGTATATGATCTATAATGTAAAATAATGGGGCTTGCTATTTGCCGCCAACCAAATTGCTATTTGCCGCCAACAACAAAAAAAAAGTATATATATACATCTTTGGTTAAGGAGTTTCACAATCTACAACATATCCAACTTTCAGAAAACGTATTGAATCAGAAAAATTCAATGCTCGCCGGAAAAGTCGCCGGAAAATCATCGGGAAAGCCTATCCTCGACATATACTGCGTACACGCATCAATGAATCATCACTAAGCAGGTGCATAATTTTTTTGTAGTTTCGAACAATTTTTCCGACGATTTGAAACGAACAGACGGTGGGCTGAAAAATTCCGGCGGCCGGAACCTGGCCGGGCCGAAAAATTCCGGCCCACCGTCTGTTTTTGGAATTTTTCGGAAAAATTCGATTTTAGGAGTTGAATTTAGAGTTTAGGAGTTGAATTTAGCGTTTAAGAGTTGAATTTAGCGTGTAAGAATTGAATTTAGAGTTTAGGAGTTGAATTTAGCGGTTAAGACTTGAAATTAGCGTTTAGGTTCACAGGAATATTGATGTATTATATTGTAATCGTAGGAAAAATGTCAGAGTTGTTACCGGCTGATCATGATTACACACAGGAATTTGAGAATGGGATCCATTATGCAAGTGTGAAGTTAGCTGAGTTAGCTGCAAAAACAATCGCTCAGGAGTGTGGGTTCTTTATTGTTAGAGGAGCATGGAAACCGAATACTGCTGGACTACATCCTGTTATTGCCCTCTGTATGTATTGCGACAGAAGTAGTAGGATCGTTAAGTCTTATAAACCAGACCCTACGAAGGAGACGCGTGGGAATATTAGTTCGAAGGGTACTGGTTGCCAGTTTCATATATGTATAAAGGAAGTATGGCAAAAGGATGGTCCAAACACATGGGTCATAGTGGGAGTGACAAGTCGTGAAACCGGAGCTAATAGAGGGTTTCACAACCATGAAAATGTGTTGTATCTAGAACATCACCGACACAACAAACAGTTTAGTGAGGCTGAAAAAGAGAGGTTAAGATTAATGAGGAAGGTGGGGATGAGACCAAATCAGCAGAAGACGACACTCAATACTGAAGGGGGTGTGCATCTTGATATCAAACAGATGTACAACATAAATTCCAAGACAAGATTGGATGAGATGGGTGAAATGGATGCGATACAGTTTGCGCTTCACGGAGCTGAACATCGTGGGTACCATATCTGTTTGCAAAAGGACTCTAATAATGTGCTCACTAATCTGTTTTTTGCGCACCCGACGTCCATTCAGATGTTGCATGCATGGCCGTACGTCATCCTCATTGACTCGACCTACAAGACCAACAGGTACGGCTGGCCATGGGTTGAGATTATTGGGGTTACTCCAGTCAAGAAGAATTTCAACATTGCATGTGCAATTATTAAGCAGGAAACAAAGGAAACATATGAGTGGCTGCTGCGATGTATTAAAGGGTTGCTCGGTGATACGGTTCCGAATGTCATTGTGACAGACAAAGAAGGTGGTTTGCTTGCTTCTATTCCTGTGGTCTTCCCTCTCCCACATACTGTCCACCTACTATGTTTATGGCACGTCAACAACTGTGTGAAGCAAAAGTTTGAAGAATTA